GGGAGAGCTCCCCAGGCCTGGCGGAGCCGGGTGCCCCCCGCCGGCGAGGGGGTGTGGTGACCCCGGGAAGGCTTGTGAGGAGCCGGGCTGGTCCTCGAGCGGCGGCGGGCTGTGCGGCCCCCGCGCCCAGCGGCCAGATTCCTGCGGTGTGGTCGCGGGAGGAGGCTGCGGTGCGGGTCCCGCGGCGCTGACGCTTTCCTTCTAGGTTGGTCTCCTTGCGCGTAAATTTTAGAGAGTGTGACACTCATACCTTTGACAGCTCGCTGAGTAAGAAGGTTGGCCAAAGCATTGCTTGTCCGGTTTTGGTCAAAAATAAATAACTAAATAAAAATAAAAAAATAATGCCCATGATGCAAATCTTGTCTCCCGTCCACCAAACCAAACGCCTAAATTCAGAGGCTGTAGTGATTTGTCTTATTTAATGCCTCCATCTCTCTAATCACGGGTTTGTAATCCCCATAGTTTGATCCCATTTCTGTGTATGACCGGAGCCGTGCTGACCGTAACTTCAATGGAAATTCCTTCCGTTGGCTATATTGTCCCATTAATTACATGAATTGTAATTCCCATTAATTGGATAAATTGTCGCTACATCTTTGTGGAGTTGGGCTAACATCTCTACTGGAAATAGATGGGCACCCTCAGATGGACGTTCTTCCTTTCTGTAGGTGAACCGTCTTGGAGACTGTAACCAATACAATTAGAATGTTAATTTTTTCAGTTGTGGGTAGTCTAAACTTCATTTCACCTGCTTTTAAAAACTGAAATCATCCAAGCCAACAGACTTCAAAGATTCTTTTGGAATAAAGCACTCTCTGAAATTCCAGTTATGTAAAGTCAACATTTATTTTCTGGCATTTACTATGAAAACTGCGTTTATAGTGGTTACTATGTGTCACTTGGTCAGTTGCAAAGGGGAGGAGGCCTGGTTTATTTTGAGACAGTCTTTTGTTTATTCTTTTCTACCCTGTTAATTTTCCTCTTTCATGTCATAGATTTAGTTGTTAGTTTGGCAACATGGCTGTTGATGTTTTTCTCTTTCTCTGTCTCCCTTTTTTCTCTCTTGTTTTCTCTTACCCCCACCAGGTGCTGAGTCTGCTTGTCAGGGAGGGGGGCAGTCTGATTCTGAAAACAGCCAAGAAGGGGAACGGCAAATTCAATCACATAGAATTCTCCATCCAGTCAAGAACCACATTTTTTCTTCCTGCTTTTCCCTCTGCAGGAGCTGAATATTTAACCTTTTAGACTTTTGACCGCCAGCTAAAATTTTATGATCTTACTTATGTTATGTGTCTTTTAAAAATTTGTCATGTTTCCTTAGAGTTCCTAGTGAATATAATAGCACCCGGGTGCCTGGGGGTAAAGGGGAGAGTGACAAAAAGAAATTATCCCCATTTTCCTTATTGAGTTCCCTTTCCACTTCAGGGGGAAATTACTCACAGAATGGTATAAATCCTCTACCTTTTTTCAACCATATTGTGAAGAAACACAAAAGTGAACATTCTTTCGTCCCCTTTACCAGTGACCATCTACCAAGCTTCAGGCATTAGTTTCTTGGGGGCACAGGATGAAACATTCCTCAGTTCCTCCTTTCCCTCATATACATCCACTTGGTATTTGCTACTGTCACTAGATTTCTGAAAATTTCTCCCTTCCCTATGACCTGAAAGACACTATGAACACTTGGATGGGATTAGAGGAAGGGGCTGGAGCAGAGCACATTGTTCCACACTTTGGGAAGCTGGAGTAGCTTTTATCATATTCCTCTGGGGAGCAGGCATAGAGACCTAAACTTGAGTGAAAATGGGTGGAAGAAGAACTTCTGTACCCACGAACAACATGTGAAGAGTGAGAAAACCAAACTTAAAGTAAGGAGGGTGAGTTTTATTATATATTGCTTGCTGACAACTGTCTCTTGGGTACACGATCAATTTGGCTCTTAGATTTTATGATAGATCAGTTTAAAGAGTATTTGCAGGTGAGATTATTAAGGGGAAAGGCTGTCCTAAAGGACATCTGCAGAGTCTTGTGGCCTCTACTCCCTACTCCAGCTTTCTGGAGTCCATCCCCTACTCCAGTAATTGGAAATTACAACTCCCAGCAATCCCTAGGTGAGGATCCAAGGGTGGAGCTAAGCAGGCATTCTGGGACTTTGGGGTATATATATACATACATACATACATATAGGGGGCCATTTTCTACTCACATACACACTCTCAGGACCGAGTGGCTGGTGGCTATCATTGTGTTACTGGAGTTACAAGTAAGCTGAGCTGGTAGGATGTTCTAGTTAACTTGTATCTTTTTCTCTTTCCCTGGGTTGTTCCTTCTCCTTTCCCCTTTTGTAAATAAACCCATTGACTCTTTTTGTGTGTGCCTGCAGTATAATTGAATTCTAAGCATGGCTGGTGAGGACTCACAGTGGACAGGTAGCCCAGTTCACATTGGGTTGCCCTGTAACAGGATTAAGTTTTGAGTGTATGAAAAAGAGCCTTTGGAAATTGTTCTTTTAAAATCTGGGGAGTATATTATGATATGAATGATGGAAAAAGTATTCCTTTTAAATGTTAGTTTTACTAGTATATGTAGTTTTACTAGTATGTGTATGTGTAGTTCAAGAGAGGTTGAATAGAGGCGATTAGACACAGTGGAAGAATTGTCTTTCATTACTTGGGGAATTTTCCTGCTTGTCATATTAAGGGTTGTTAACAAGTAATACAGTATCTCCAAAAATGCATGCACATACTGTTTTAGGTCCATGTGCCATATATATCTGTATATACCTGTTAGGTTCACAGACAAGAAAGTGATTTTCTGGCTTCATGCCAATTAATGCCATGGTATTATGAATGTTTTCTTTTTTGTTGTTTGTTTGCTATTTTTCTCCTTTCAAAATTGGCTTAGAGGACAATAGCCACAGAGCTGGCCAAGTTCTACTCCTTAGAGCCTGGTCTATACGGAACCTGTGTGCTTATATCTACTATATCTTTTCTTTGTCTTACCGAAATTATTTTTTCCCTCCTAACCTTAATTATCAACAAAATTAGTTATTTTCAGGATCATTTGTATAATGATGAAAAGTAGCATTAATTAGACTTGTGTTTGGTTTTTCTTTTTTATAGAGGAATTAAAAACTAATAGATTTATTAATTAGCGACATTTAGATCTTACAGTAGGTTTTCCTGACATTTAACATTGAATCAATATATTAAATCGATATATAAATTTTCAATGTCAAAAATATTAAATTGCTCATAAATATGATTTAGTATGACAAAATCCTTTAAAATAACTTAGTTTTTAACTTTTGTCTGTCTCATATAGGGTTCTTTGTTACCTAGTAAGTATAATAGAGAACATATGAATTTTGTCTTCATGGAGTTTACAGTCTAATTTTAATTTCATTGACATTTCATGTTTCAGTCTTCTCACCCAATAAAAGCCAAACTTTACCCTTCAGTAAATTTTTTTTACTGTATTCAGCTCCTTACATTTCATTTTGCTTCTCTTCTCCTTCTTCCCCCTTACTCCTTAGCTTCATGTTTTTCTAAAATAGAATATGTATTTGCAGCATAACAGCAGACAATTTCTTGATCACCGCTTTGCTGTCTCCTGTTTGGCAACTCTTCAGACAACAGAAAACTACATCTTAAAAATTCATGCAGGTTTACCCAAATAGCAACCTTGGAATTCTTCCCTGATAATTTGGCATTCTCAATTGTTAGGTTATGGTTTGACATGTAGTTCAGCTAGCTGTACCTATAAAAGCTGTACTTTTGGTTTCAGTATATTAATAATTCACCAGCTACCTTCCCATGAAAATTTGGATATTCCAGGAGTGAACGTTAAATGTGAGTTATACTGTGCTTTGCATCTCAACAATGTTTTTACCCCACATTCCAGATAACTTGATGTAACATTCTTCCATTAGGGGAAAGTATTGTACATTTTATTTGGAATCCAGAGAAAAGGTAACCACAACCACGGACTGCTTTAGAAATTTTAGTAACTAAACTACAGGCAATTTAAGTGAAAGGTAACTTTTTTCGACCCTTCAGTGTAAATGTGTAGAATTTGCATGTTTATTTGCTCATGGCATTATTTTTCGTTTTCTAGTTTTCTAATTGTAACACACACAAACACAATTGATCATCTTATCATTTTTACGTATACAGTTTAGTGGTATTAAGTACATTTATAGTGCTGCGTAGTCGCCACTACTTCCATCTTCAGAACTGTGAAATTGGACGCTCTGTACCTGGACAAAGCATTAGTTTTCCCCCAGGACCCTAGCCCCTGGAAGCTACTGTTCACTAAGTTTGACTACTTCTAGATATTGAAATAATGTCCTCAAGTTGCCCATGATGTATCATGTATCAGAACTTGATTCCTTTTAATGATTGTGTGTGTTTGTGTTTGCTTATTTTTTCAACTGTTTATGGACACTTCTGTTGCTTCATTTACCCCTTTCAACTATTGTGAATAAATCTGTTAAAAACATGGGGTAAAATTATCTCTACTTTCATTTATGTATATATCTAAAAATAGATTTGTTGAATCTCATAGTTTTTGAGGATCTACCTTATAGTTTTCCATACCTACTATACCATTTTACTTTGCCACCTATATTTTGCAAGCATTCGAGTTTCTCCACATCCTCCCAAAACTTAGTTTCCACTTGCTATTGATAGTAATGGTCCCAGTAGGTTGTAGGCATTTTCCTGCTTTTGACTTATATTTTCCTAATATAGTGATGTAGACCATCATTTCTTATTCACCATTTTTAAACAAAAGATCATTTTTAAATTTATGAGAACTGGACTGGGACTATGTTTATTTTGCCTGTCACTGTATCTTTAGAGCATGTGTTAGGTGCACAAATAAAAATTGACTCTATTACCTAAGGTGTAGCTTTATGCATTTAGTAGTTCTGTTAGATTTTAAAATAACTGACATTATGACTAATTTTTTACTTTGAGCAGTTTGCTTTTTGTTGGGGGAAAGAGAGTGGGATATAGAAATAATCTTCCAGGGATGTTGCAAACATAAATGTAAAATATAGTGATCAAATGTAAAATGATCTTCTTAGTGTAAAAGGAAGGTCCAACTTATAGACATTACCATTACTTGCTGACATGTAAACCTTGATGTCAGGGTTTTTTGCGCATGATAAATTATAGATATTTATTAAAGTGTTGTGACTTATGCAGTGAATATTATTGATAGAATCAATAATAAAAAATGTTGACATAAGGTAGGCAGTCCAGTGAAATGACATTTCACAATTGACAGATATTCAACTTCGGACAGGTAACTATGCTTTTCCTGGAGTTGACTACCGTCCTTGTAAGCTAGATGGTGTTTAGAGCTATAACCATAGCATCCGTTTCCCAGATAACAATTTGGAACAAAGACCACGGAATTGAGTACACCTCTTAAGTATACTTCCTAAAAGTTGCAGTGCAGTGCCAAGATTTACTTATATTACCACATCTAGCTGCAAGAAAACCTAGGGAATATATATACTTTTAGGTAGTTGGCACTGTGCTCAACTGAATGTCAGGTAGTTTATTGTAAGGAATAAGTAGAAAATTGTATTGGGAGGCAAGTGGCAATCTCTACCTTAGAGTTTGTGGAATTTGAAGTCCCTCTGGACTCTCACTTTCTAATTGTGAATTTTCACATTAACTAACCCTCTCTGCCAGAATATCTTCACTCACCAAGTGAAAACAAAAATATCTTAGGGGTGGTTGTGGGATTCAGTAAGACAATACAAGTATACCGCCCAACATACTATCTGGTGTGTATAATCATGCAAATTGAGAATTTTCTTGATATAAATTCCCTATTATATCCAAGTATAATAGAAAAGAGTATACCAAGAAATCATGGAACCTGAGATCTTAAGTCTGGCTTTATCATTGCGATAGTCTAGGTAAGCCCCTCTTTAAATTTGGAAATCATTCTATTATTATCACTCTATATATGCATGTTAAATGAGAAAATATATGTGGAAAGTGATTTGTGAAGTATAAATGGAGAATGTTTTTAACTTCATCTATTTGCATTGTTTACTGTTGTCTTGAACCTCTTTTTATGAAGACAGAGAATTTCTAGCCATCTGTCTATTCCAGAATGTTGTCTTTTCTTATCTGCTTTGTCTGTTTTGTATATATTGTCTCCAATATAAGGTGGAGACTAGGGATTCTAGTTTTTTTCCCCGTTACCTCTAAAAAACCTTGATAACTAGCTTCCTACTCCTGCTTTCATAGATTTCAATCTACCACCATGTTAATGTAGTGAAAAAAGTGGCATTTCATAATTTCAGAGTACCTGAACAGTGATACTATTTTAAAATGGCATCTTAGTGAAAGTTTGTGACTGTGCGAAAAACTATTTACACAAGTTTCAAAGGAACACTCTTTAATGATCATAGATTGTTGAACACTGGGCCATTAACCCCATTGGAATAATGGGGCAACTGGATGAAAACACTGTTATTTGGTTGATTCTGAGACTTGCCTGAGATTTTTATCATTCATTTACTTTCTGTACCTTTAATAAGATCTACAAAGTCATCTTTCCTCCCCACCCAGGGTTAGTTACTTTTTCTACCTCCTTGTTAATATTTTCCCCCTACACTTCTCTTATATGGCATTGGCAAACCCTATTTCAAAACAAAAACCACATATTTGGGTATGTGTGTATATATACATGTATGTGTATACATACACATACATGTATATATGCAAAAATAAGATCCTGTAGCCTCAAAGAATTAAGATGACTTTAGGAGTTGGGAAAAATTGACAAACTAGGCACAAAGAGATTTGAGAATACAGTGTTTTCAGAAATTAGATATGAGAAAGAGTTGGAAAGTAGATTTGTTTGAAGGCTTTTTGGTTTGTTTTGAAATGTTTTCAGTGTTGTCATAAATGAACTGAAAAGAGTAAATCTTCATTTACTCGAGTAATCTTTAGGAGATTGAATTACTATGGGATGTGTCTGTGCGTGCATGCATCTGAGTGTGTGTGTATAAATATGTATGGTTTCAGTAAGTGACATGAAAATAAAAAATGATCCCTAAGTTTTTTAATTGAATGCATTATTAATTAGAATGGCTTCTCCAGAGGAGTAGATCAACAGAAGATTATATGTATATGAAAGAAAGCTATCAAGAGAAGTATTTTAAGGAATTGGCTGATGTGATTGTGAGGCAGGCAAACTTGAAAGCTGGGGCAGACTAGAAGGCTGAAACTTGCCCGGGATTTCTATGTTATAGTCTTAATGTAGAGCTCCTCTTTTTCTGGGAAACCTTGGTGTGACTTAAGTCTGTTATCAGTGGGATTAGATAATAGTTCCATGTACAAAATACATTCATAGCAAAAATACCTTACCCAGCTTGACCCATAAGATTTAACCATCACAATGGGAGATCCAGGTGTTGAAGTGGGGTTATTACATACAGAAGGAGGTTTCAGGCGTGAAGAGTCACAGTGAAGGAAAATGTCTGAAAAAGTGTCTGAACTTCAGATAACCATAATTTGCTATTTTTCTCCATAAGCCTGATCCAAATCCTGTATTTCACATTCAAGAGTGAGTGATATAATTGCATTCTTATTTTAGTGATTACCAAGTAGAATAAATTCTAGTTTGTAGGTAAATTGTGTGTTCTTTATCATTCTTTCTGGGCTGAGTTCATATGTTATATCTTACCTGCAATAAAGAATTTTCCTAATAGTAAGAGATTCCTTAATATCTTCAAATGGTAGATTGTGATTTCGCTTTTCTTTATCTGAGGAAACTATGAACATAGCATATTTCCCAATGATTCCTACTTAATAAACCTTGCCTAGAACGTTGGAAAATAGGCAGTGATGTTTCCTATTGTACCTATCCAGAAGTTTGCATAGGGTAATTATTTCTAAATAAAAGGAAATCCTCTTTGTTGACTTTTTTCTTTATTTCAAAAAAAAAAAACTTCTTCCACTTTATTAGTAGTATTTATTGGTAACTGATAGTTATACATTGTTTTCCTTGCCAAACTTGGGGGGGGGAAAAGAACATGAGAATGAATTGATTTGCATTTACAGTGTAAAAGGAGAAACAACATGCCTCCTTCCCTCTCTTTCTGTCTCTGTCTCTGTCTCTCTCTCTCTCTCTCTCTGAAATGCTTTGTTTATCTTACATTGTTAAAACAAACTATTTTCTTACAAATATCAAGTGACCAAGCAATTGCTTTACATGTTCAAGGGAAAGAAGAACTCTTTTTTTTTTTTAAGATTTATTTATTCATACAGAACTGGGGTACAGGCCAGAGATGAGGAGGGTGAGAGGACCCTCCAGAGACAGAGTGGGGAGCAGAACAGGCAGATAGATGAAGTACACTGCTGAGGGCGGGGCGGGTCAGGAGAGGTCTGCCGCGCCATGTGGATCTCCTGCTTGGGGATCGAACTCATGTGATAGTGGCTTTAGCTTCTTAGTGCTGTGCTTTAACCCGCTGCGCCACCAGGGAGGGCCCGGAAAGAAGAACTCTTTCTGTGAATTTAATTTGAAATTTGGGCTCCTGGACTCTATAGATTTACTGTTCATGCTTTTAACTTCTCAGCTGCTCTTTTTCTTTTTCCTGAATATTGTTGAATGGGAGAAGTAGTTGTTTTAAAATAATCATTAGAAAGGGGATGGCTGTGGTAGAAGGTGCTATTCCTCCTAGGACAGGAGTTAGAGATGGGGAAGAGTAGAGTTTGGTGGTTAAAGAGACTTCACATGTTTCCTGACTCTTGGTAGATGTGATGAAACTCAGTGGAGCTCCCTGAAAAGGTTGATTAGCCACAGTAGCAGCAGCTGGAAGGTGGGGGCAGTGAGGATGGCCAGCTCCTCTCCTGTGGGAGCTGGAGTAGACCATTGGGCAGAGAGGATGAAGTTGTGCCCTTTCATTCCCTGGCAGTCAACTAGTTTCTTGAGGTGTGACTTGAAGAGGATACCAGCACTAATAGAACAAGAATTAATACCCTGAGGTTGTTAATATGCCAACTTGTTCTTTACAACATGTATTTGGTGTCCAGGAAGTGTGAGTTGGAACACAGTGTAGCATCACTATGAATCTTTTTGTGAAAAACAAAGTGTGATACAAAAGTTCATGGAAGCTGATAAAGAAAATATATTTTACATGACCAAAAATAACTCTGTGCAAGGGAAGGTACCAGTCTTACTGCCTGCCATTTAGGTAGATTCTGAGGAATTACAATCATTGACATTGATGTCGGACTTCTTTAGCATAGTCTCTGCTTCTTTACTAGAATCTGCATTTTAGGAGGAGAGTATACCTTCAGTTTCAGATTTCAGAACTTCCCTGAAAGGATGAGGTTCATTATAGCAAGTGATCTCAGACAGAAAAGGGGACATCATTTCTATGTGAGAATCCCAGAACCAGGAGAATTTGGGGTCTGCTAGGACTTGGGGAGTCTAGCCTGAACCCTTGGTTGTTGGCTTACTAACAGTGTAGAAACACCCAGCCTGTACATGAGGATATAAGAGGTGCCTCTGTTAGTACAAGTTGGAGCTCCTACCCAGCTGAAGAATTGCAACCTAGAGAGTTTCAGAGTATAAAATCACTGAAAACAACATGTGTCTTTCTGGGTATTTCTAAAAATCTGATATGTAGATATCAGAACATTACTAATTACATACAATGGCTGTAACAGCCCATCTTGTATTAGGGACCAGATCTACCTGACTGAACCATGCATCTTCATGTAATGATTGAATCGTAATACCAGCTAAAAATGGCGTTGGAAACTTAAGTGGGGAGGAACTGAGATGTCTTTGTGTATTGAATACCAGCACCACAGTATTTCAGAAATTATCTAGTACTAATGTTTAAAGGGTTTTTTCCTTTACAGTTACCCATTCAAGGGAAACAGTGATAACTACATTAGGTACACAGCATGACTACGTTTTTGTTGTTGAAATCACCTGTTACATTAATAAAACTTGCTTCTTATGAAAGTGACTTTCAACATTTTGCTCATGATACAAATTCTGAACAGCATCACTTTTTGTGGAAGAAAGTTCTCTTGTGAGTTTTAGTAAACACACGTTTAGAAATTTATTGAAAGGAAAGGCACTGAGCATGTTATTCACTGATGGAAATAAATTTTAGCCATTGGATTTTGATTATTTAAAGTTTTTTTTTCCTACACTCAAGTTATTTTTGATTACAATTGCTCTGTAAAAGACTTTAGTATTGAAACTTACCTAGTAATATGGAATTTTCTAAACACCTAGAAGTATGTTTTTAACTTATATGTAATACAATTTAAAAACTGAGTTAAAAAACTAACTAGTACATTATTTATAGTTTATAATAACGGGAGCATTGTGGATTTATATTGTTGTTGACTGATTATTTCATATTTTAAAAGATTTTGCATTTTTGGGAGCAGATAAAAGTAGACTATCCGGTAAAAGAGTATTCATACACAACATATAATATGGGGAGTTTCTGCTCAATTACCTGCTGAATCATAAAGCTGCAGTGTATTTTCCCAGTAGAAACTGCAAAATGTGGTGATATTATATAAAGAAATTTTAATTTGAATGAAATGGGAAAAATGAGCAATACCTCTTGTGTTGCTATGGTTTATTTGTATGAAAACCAACAATTAGATTTCTTGATTTACCTTGCTTATATCTATTTTCTCTTCCATCTAGAAAGAGTTTACAGGAGGAAATAATCCAAGAAAGAACAAACAAGCAGATCAAGATGTGTAGCTCTATGACTGCAAAGCTGTGGTTTTTGACAGATCGTCGAATCAGGGAAGACTATCCTCAGAAAGAGATCTTACGAGCATTAAAGACTAAATGTTGTGAGGAGGAACTGGAATTTAGAGCTGTAGTGATGGATGAGCTGGTGCTAACAATTGAGCAGGGAAGCTTGGGTAAGTCTATATTAAGTGATTTTTCTTTTTTAGTTTTTACTTAAAATGTATGGAACCTGCATATTTTAGGAATAATTAGTACAAAAGAATTCATAACCTTGTCGTAGTAAGATTCATCTAATCTTAAAATCAGGTATATTTTATGGAAGAAACGGAAACACTAGTATTTAGTTAATACTTGATTGTAATGTTTAAGGAGTAGATGGAAGGGGAATCAAAAATTTCCTGCCTGTTGTTATATTTTATTGTTTTATATTTATATTGCTATATTCTAGTTCCATTTTATTTATTTTTTAAAAGATTAATTCTGACTTATTATTTACATTGATTCTAATTTATCTATGCATATAAGATAATGGGGGTATAGGTCAAAGGTTCCGGGGATGAAAGGATTCATCAGAGACAGAGTCAGCAGTGGACAGGCAGATTTACTGAAATACACTGCTAAGGGGAGCAGTGGGCAAGACAGGAATGGTCTGCGCCACCACGAAGGTGCCTATGTTCTAGTTTTATTTTATTTTAAAGATTTGTTTGTTTATGCATAGAAGAACTGGCGTATACGCCAGGGGTCTGGGTGGTGAGAAGATTTACTAGAGACAGAGTGAGTGTCACAACAGGTGGATTAACCAAAATGCACTGTTGAAGGGAGCAGTGGGTGAGACAGAAGAGGTCTGCCTCACCAGGTAAGTCACCTCCCTGGCTGGGGACTAAATTCCTTCTGTGGTGGCTTGGGACAGCCTCATAATGCTGTTCTTTTTTTTCTTTTTTAAAGATTTATTTATCTATTCATATGGAACTGGGGTATAGGCTAGAGATGCGGAGGGTGATAGGATTTACCAGAGACAGAGAGGGGAGCAGAACAGGCAGATCAACGAAGTACACTGCTGAGGGGAGCAGGGGCTGTCAGGAGAGGTCTGCTGCGCCATGTGGATCTCCTCCGGAGCAGACGGGAATCGAACATATGTGGAAGTTGCTTTAGCTTCTTAGTGCTGTGCTTTAACCCGCTGTGACACAAGGGAAGGCCCACAGTGCTGTTCTTTAATGCATTGCACCACCAAGAAGGGCCCCTACGTTCTAGTTTAAAATGCATTTTTTATATAGTACTCTGAATGGAATGTATACCCCATGGGATACTGTTAATACAAACAATCAAATTCTCTGTGATTTTTCTCTTTAAAATTATTTTATATGCTATATAAAATACTATTAATTTTTTTCTGATAAAGGTGTCTAAATGATTTGACTCATTCGGTGATTAAGTATTTCTAATAATTCATATTTGCTTTGGGATTTTATCTTTAATACTTTCATTAATGTCCCTCTGCATGTCTAGGAATTTCCAGGTGGTTATTAGTATATTTATTATTTGATATTTTTACTATATTTAGCGCTCATCTAATAGGAAAGGTGATTTATCGTTTTTGGAGAAGTGGAGAAATATTTGCAAAATACTTTTTGTCTATTGCTCTTTATTTCAGAGATCAACCCAACCTTTTCTTTTGTAATTTATTTTTACATCATTTTGTGTCTTTTTCCATCTCAGTTGTAATCCCTGTGAACTTCCCATCACTAATTCACCATAGTCCTCTGCACTCCCTCCTCCACCCCATTTTTGATCCCATTCTCCACTCCCTCCCCTGTAAAATGTCTCGAGCATATAGTTGTTCATTTTTATCTTCCCCCCCTTTCCTTTATGCTCCTGACATGAGTGAAACCATCTGGTATTTTTCCTTTTCTTTCTGGCTTATTTCACTAAGCATGATCTTTTCCAGCTACATCCATGTTGCTCCAAAAGGCATGTGTCTATTTCTTTATTTTTGGTTGCTGAGTGATATTCCATTTTATGAATGTACCACATCTCTTTAATCCAGTCATTTGCTTCTGGGCATTTGGATTGATTCCATGTCTCTCCTATTGTAAATAAAGCAGCAATAAACATGTGTTCTTGTGTAGATACGTAGGAGTGGGATTGCTGGGCCATATGGAAGTTCCATTTTTAGCAGTTTGAGAAACCTCCAAACAGCTTTCCATAGTGGTTGTACTAGTTTGCATTCCCACCAACAGTGCAGGAGAGTTTCTTTTTCTCCACATCCTCGCCAACATTTGTTGTTGCTAGTTGTTTTAAGATGTACCATTTGCACTGGTGTGAGGTGGTATCTCCTATGGTTTTAATTTGCATTTCCTTTATTACAAGTGATGTTGAACATTTTTTCATATGCTGTTGGCCGTCTGCAATTCCTCTTTGGAGAAGTGTGTTTTTAGTTCTTCTGCCCATTTTTTTTTTAAAGATTTATTTGTACATACAGAACTGGGGTACAGACCAGAGGCTCAGGGGCGGTGAGAACCTTCACCAGAGACAGAGTGGGGAGCAGAACAGGCAGATTGATGAAGTTCACTGCTGAGAGGAGCAGTGGCTGTCAGGAGAGGTCTGCCACACCATGTGGTCACCTCCGGGGCAGGCGGGAATTGAACTCATTGCGGAAGTGGCTTTAGCTTCTGAGTGCAGTGCTTTTAACCCGCTGTGCCACCAGGGAGGGCCCATCTTCTGCCCATTTTTTGATGGGGTTTATTTTTGTTGAGTTTCATCAGTTCTTTGTATATCTTTGTGATCAATCCTTTATCGTTAGTTTAGTGTGAGAAAATTTTTTCCCAGTCAGTGGGATATCTGTTTTTTATAATGTTTCTTTTGGTGTACAGAAGCTTTTTAAATCAGTGTAGTCCCAACTGTTTACCCTTTCCTTCACTACTCTTTACCTTGAATAGGTGTTCCCAACCTAATTCGTGCTCACTGCTGTTTCTTTGCCTTTATTTGTGTATTTCATCCCATCTGAATGTGTTCTTTTGTCTTATCACAACTTCTGTGAAGTTTTACCTGGGTTTTCTCTTTCGTGCCTATGTGACACAACTTTCACTTAATTATATTGTTACCTCCCTCCCCCAACAGATTCATATTAATATTTTCTTTTTAATTTCTCACATCCAGAGTTTGTATTATTCCATATAGGATCTCTCTTGGCAAGATTCTGGACACATAAAATGCTATGTTCCTATTTCACTGAGAATCTGTTGAAAGTAATCTTGGAATGTATTGAGCTTGGATGTTTGCAATGATGTCATTCATCGAACTTACAAGTTTTCACCCCAGAATTCTAAAATAGAAACCAAGAAGAAATTCTGGACAAGTGAAATGCAAAAATAGAAATGAGAAACTCACTTGTTTCTCCTTGAAGAAAAGCAAAAAGAATCTCAGAGACTTGTGAAATATTATCAAGCAGACCAAGTTTACCCTGTGGCAGTCTATGAGGGAGGGAAAGTGGAGGAGGGAGAAATAATATAGTTCATGTGTTCTTTAAGCTAAGTAGACATATGGATGCTCTACAAAAATCAAAGAAGTGATTACAGTGCAGTATATAGTACCACAGCAATATATTTGCTAATGTTCCCTTTTCCAATATACTGTCCATGATTATTTCTGATTAGACAAAGAATGAATGGGATTGAGTTGTTTTCTTTTGGGTTTTTAGACTGTGATGTTGACTAAATGATTAGAATTTTGTATTTGTGTATTTCCGTAAGTCAGAAAATAAATTTTTGAGGATTCAAAGAAAAAAATCTTTAGTCTTTAATCACCAGGAAGAGATCTCTTATATTATGAAATCAGCTTCCTCTCCCCACCTTCGGTCATCAAAGTAACAAAGAACCTTGAAAATATATACTCTGTATAACAAATCAGTCTGCATTTTAGTCATTCTGTAGTGAAGTACTTAACTGAAATCTTCTATATCAGCACCAAGTGACTGTACCTGTCTTTTCAGAGTAATTGCCTATCCCTTTCCAGAGTAGTTCAGGAAAGTGAAGGAACTGAATTAGTTTTACCTCTAATGCTTTGACTGTTTCAAATTTGGGGATCAAATGCTCTTGGAAATGTCTGTACTTTTATATGTGATGTTGAACATTATAAATGTGGATGTAGTTTTGAGTAAAAGTGGTTTTTATTTATTTTTTTAAGTTTGAGAGGTCTGCGCCATGTGGGTTAGCTCCTTGGTTTGGGATTGAACTCATGTTGAAGCGGCTGGTGAGAGGTTGATAGAACTGAGATTTTAACCCCTGTGCCACTAGAAAGGACAAATAAAAGTTAAGCTGATAGACAATTGCAGGGAGGCAAATTTGGAAATGTGATATTCTTACAAATAGATAAGTCCTTATAAGTTTTACTTCAATTGCCTTGATGGTTGTGGAATGAGATAATGATAAAGCATTTAAAAAAATAGTCTAATGTCATTGGCCCCTGTCTACTAAGTACTGTTATTAAGAAAAGCAAACCTTCCTACCAAATGTAGAATTGATGAAAAATAACTAGGGTTCTTCTCCCCCCACCACTGTTAGTTAATACTAAAATCCCATGAATCTCCGCTGAGAAAATATTTTTATTTGCCATCTTGATGTGATGTTGTGTGTCACATCAAGGAATTTCCTTTCTAGTTATCCAGAACTTTCTTTCTGAGCCTGGTTTTCTCAGCATTCTCTGCAATTTTATATCCATTCATTTCATTCTTGGTTTTTTTTTTTCCCTCCTGCTTAAGTTAACTAGTCAATACAGAAATTAACCTTAGCCAATACAGAAATTAAGCCCAGAGAGCAAATTACAAAGAGTAGACCCTTCAGAGAGTTGGTTGCTTGGCTTAGATAGTGTGGAAAGCAATTAGGAAACTACCTTTCTTATCCCAGAAAGGGAATCTAATAACCCATGATAGATACACAGTGTGAAACTGGTAATTAAGTAATTACCTTCATTCAATTGGAACCATGGTGTTGTTGAGGATATAGCTCTGGGAATCTGGTATGAATTGCCACACAACTGTTAGGAATTTGGAAGTAGAAAACTAGAAGGACTTCTGAAGGCATTGGGGAACCTAAAGCAAAGGTATAAAGGAATTTAGGAGCTTACCAGTATTTGATATTAGGTGTAATCTAACCCATTGAATATTCTTTCAGAAAGG